AAATTATGAACATTGCTCAACATCATGAAAATTAAACCTTATTTTCAATAAGCAATCCTGAAAAATATTTGGGGGTGCTTAACTTTTTTCCAGGTGTATATAATTATCTTACTGTAATGGAGGTAGTGTGTATGTCAGTATATATGTATGTAATAAAAACTCATGCACCATCTGTTGAATGGCACCACAAACAAAAATCCATAAAAAAATTCACACCTTGGGTATTCAAGATTCAGACAATGAGAAAAATAACTGGTATTTGCAACAATTATTTCTTTCTAATAGAACAAAATTCTAAGTAAAAATACTCTTCTCACAACAAGAACATGACTTTCACTAGGACTGTACATGAGTATAGGGTTGATTATATCTTTTATTGATGTATTTTTTTTATGTAGTACCGAGAAACTAGAGTTCTGAAATAAACTGTTATTTTTTCAATAAACAGTGCCACTTTTAATATATAAAAAACATTACAATTTATATCAGTAAAATTTATGAAAATTTTGAGCTTTTTACATTAAACCATATTGATGCAATGAGTTGCATCTGACTAAAGAGCACAATCAGAACACTTTTCCTGTACAGTACTTCCCCCAAAAAAATCCTTTTTTTAGAAAATGTTCGCTTTTTGAAATATTTTTCAATGAGGTATGAATACCATGATTAGTTATTACTAGCACAAACAACTGCCCTTTGGGCCCCATTTCTGCTAGTATTGCTAATGTTTGTTTTTGTTGCATTTTTCTTTAGGGTCGTAAATGGGGCCTTAGATATTTTTAGGTTCTTGAAAAGTTTTGGAATTTCATTTTGGAATAACTATGAACTGCTTGTCATAGCTATATTATTACAAATTTCAATTATTCTTTAATTGTTTTAAGCTGTATAGCACCAGGATTTTTTTTTTTGGGGGGGGGGGGACTGAAAAATATTTATATTGCTCCTCTTTAAACAGTGTTCTTTTCTTTCCATTTCAATATGCTCTTTTCTAAACAGTATTATATTCTTTCTATTTTAACATCTTAGACCAAAACCTTGTAACTCTTCATTTATGCTTTGTCTTTAAATGTATCAAAATTTGTTCAGTTGCACTTAACACTAACTATATCTAATTTGTTTAGTGAATTATGTACATTTATTACTATTTACAACTTTCCCTGAGAAAATGTATGTCAAGAAGAAAAGGGACATAGTTTGAGCAGATTTGTGTGAATGTGTTTTGTATTGAATGTTTTATATATATGTAAAAACATGTTAGTATTTAATGAAATAAGCATTAACAACTTATATCAAGTGACATGTATTTTTGGATAGTGATTTGAAATATTTTTCCTAGACAGAAATGTTATCTCGTTTTATTGGGCAATATTCCAGGCATGTAGAAAATCTTTAGTGCTTAGTATAAGCCCTTCTTTCACAAAAAAATTATCCAAATTGATAATGACAATTTATGCATTTTTAGAAATTACAAGTTATTTTATAAATATTAATAACTATTTATTACATAAATATAATAATTATATAACTCAGATGTATAATTATTCTTGAGGGGAAAAAAACATTTAAACTGTAAAATTTCCACCACTTTTTTCAATTTTTTTGTGTTATTAAAGAGAGAAAACACCACATCCTTCTGAGATTTTAATGCTAAACAGCACACAATTATAAAGAAGTTGCATGTTTTGGAAGAACCATTTACAGGTATCAAAGTTTAGAAACTGTCAAAACAAATTACTCAATGAATGATGGTGATAATATTAAAACTTTATTTGGGCCTAATATTCAATGATATAATAGATTAGATGTTCATATTAAATGTACAGAGCTTCTATATTACCATGTTAAAAGCTTATTATATAAACCAATAATTGTAATTTCTTCAGTATTAAATCAGATGTGTAGGAATTTATATGGTAATTTGTCCTGCTTTTTTGTTTTAACAGGTCCAGGCTGGGCTGTCAAATTTACATGACTAAGGATTTAGATGGATTAAAAGTCAGAGTACCTGCAGGAGTAAATGATGCCAGGGATACACCAATATGAGGATAATGATGCCTAACTCAGAATTTGTTTTATCTTATGGAATATATATGTATATATATACACAAATAAATTGATGAACCATAGATTTCACAGAGTACAGCTTAGTGTTTTTAGAGCTGTAGAAACTCTTTCATATCTAGTTGATGCATAATTTGAACAATCACTTGAAAAACAAAGTTAAAGAGTGATAGAAATCGGGTGGTAACTATAGGACAAGGCAGTTTTTATAAATTAACTTCTTTTTCTAAGAATGTTTTAAATATGTGAAACAGAGTGAGTCTGACTTCATTAATATCTATTTTAAAACTTCTTTTCCAGTATTGTAGGCAATTTTTCAAGTGCATAGTGTAGACTGGAGTATGTGAAAAATTTTAAACAAGTATTCAACAGCTCCTAGTTTTAATAAGCTTTTAAAAGTGCAGCCCCTAGAAAAGTTTTTGTGTGTGTGTATTTAAATAACAAAGTTGTAAAAGTAATTTCTTTGTAGACATTAATGGATAATATCCATTTTTTTTACATATTTTTGGCATGTATTTTATTTAATCAACAAGCTTTCAGTCACAAATTTAACAATGATCTTTAATGTTTTAGACAACGAGTTACCTATTTACTGAAATTGTGACCAAAAGCTTGTAAATTAAATTATACACCCCTGTTATTTAGTCTACATTGTGAAGCTCATCAGTCATGACCAACACACAGATTATTGTGAAGCTTAAACATTTCTTGTCTAACCATTTAATGAAGTCAAATAATATATCATAGATTTCTGGAGCAACATTTATTTACTAGTTATTGTACAAAGCATCCTTCTATATTTGTTTACATTCACAAAAAGTATTGTATTGATAACATTAGGAAATAGTCAAAATTATAGAACATTAAGTTGTATAATCTTGAACCATCTCGGAAATTGTCACTATCTCTCATTTCTTTACAGTGTAACTGTTCTCACAATTACATGATATTGAAGAACAGTTATAATAAATATATAGGTGATAATTTGTAGTAAGTAATTTTCAATAAATTTTTTAGTAGCTCGGTTTTCAAGGTTAGTGTTGTTCTGTTTTCCAAATATTGAATTATGATATATGCCTAACTTGGGATCTGTTTTGATGATTTAAAATGTATGCAACTTTTAGCGTAATATTTTGAAATGTAATGAGAATGCATATATTAACAATTCTTTGTTTGAAAGAATGGAAAATGATCAGAGGCATATAAATATAAACTAGTTACTCCAATATTTTTGGTAACATTGACTAAGTTTTTCTGAAATGCCATGTTCTAGTAGTCCTGCAAAAGCTGTAAACTGCCAGATAACCATAAAAGCTAGTTTATATCAGTTTGAGTTGTGAGTTTACAATAAGAAAAATTATTTTCTGTTTTATGTTTCTAAATTATTTGTTATGTTAAATATAAGGTTATTTAGTATAACAAACACTTGTAATAACTGAAAACAAAAAATGATTTAGGATTTTTTGTTGAGTTAAACATTTTAAATAAAATATTTTTAAAGATTTTTGTTTATTAAATATTGTTTCAGAATTCTTAAATATATGAATTACTTGCTAATGTTGCAAAAAATACAATATTATTAAAACTAAAAATTTTCAGTAGTTATCTCGTGCCGCCATCTGGCGTAAACATTTGCAAATATTTACAAATATAAATTATGTATAGTATGTAGTAAAACTTGAATGACATATAACATAGAAACACCTCATTTTTGTAGATTATGGTAAGTTTTAAATTTTCAAAATATTTTAAATTAATATGAATGACCGTTACACTTGTAAAAAGTTACTTTTTTTAGTTAATAGATTCTGATGGCTGTTAGATAATGTTAAAGCACTAAAATAGAAATGTTGTCTACATTAAGCCTAACAAGTCTTATTAAAGCATTTTGAGTTATTGCATTTTTTAAGAACATTTAGAGCGTGTGTGTAAATGTTTGTACACTTCAAAAACAGATGTTTATATTAGCATTTATTAGCTGATGTTTAACATGTTCTGTACTGAAGTTGTAAATCACTTTTTAAAAACACATAGCACTGATGTGCCGGGCCAGATTTCACTATATATACAAAAAACTCTTTCTATATTTTTTATGTAAGTTAATAAATTGAATGAAGTTATTAAGAAACATTGTTGGGTAGGTGCGACTTTTAGCACAGGAACAAGCAGATTAATAATGTTAGATAAAAGTGATTGGTAGAAAAACTAAATTTGTGGGCATTTTATGGTGACTGTAATTGACGAAAAGTTGCTAAACATTTATTAAGATCTTAAGATAATTATTTTCATTTAGTGTCTTTGCTATGCTATTAATGATGAAATCAATGTACTGAATAGTTGTTGTGTAGTTTTCGCGGATATATTTTGTCCTAAGTGTTAAACACTATTTAGAACTGTTTCTTTCTTTTTTTTTAAAAAAAAGACTAAATAAAACTGATTAAACCGAGCAACAAAAAATTTTCTCTTCGACTAGAAGCAATTCAACTGTTGAAGTTACTTACCGCCTCCAGTTTTCGAAGTTATGATAGATTTATTCAAAATTTCTTGTATATCGTGAAAATAATTTTTTCTTTAATAACTTCATTCATTGAAAATTGCATTTAATTTTTTTCAAAAACAGTATATAATACAATACCAGTTTAAAAAAGAAATGAATATAATAACATTATATACTGAAAATACATTCAGGCTATGTTTAAAACTTTCATCATGGTATTATTCTTTGTTACAAAATATCTGCTTCATTTGTTGCGCCGTTTGTGTATGTTCTCAGTATTACGCTGCAAGAACCAACATTAATCTCCCATCAGCGCAGGATTCATCTCCTTGATATCGCTGTTCCATCGTAGAAATATCTAGGTGGAAGCGATAATCATGCTCATGCTCAATGCACATAAATCATTTGGAAAGAAGTCTAAATGGGGGTGTAAGAAATGCATCTTTAGTGACATGCTGGACCCCATTTTCCTGTAGTTCTGGAACATATCAGTTATCTGTGGTTTCCTAAGATATTTTTGATAACTAGTTTAAATGATCTCCAGGCAGCAAGTTCTTTCTGACTCAGTACTGTTTCAAAATCATCATCCATTAGCACTTCCTGAATCTGTGGCCCAATAAAGATACCTCATTTCATTTTTGCTTCATTGATTTTTGTAAACTTGTCATACAGATATCTGAAACCATTACCATCTTTGTTCATGCATTTTACAAAGTTCTTCATGAGTCCCAGTTTAATAAGAAGTGGAGACAGAAACACATTCTGAGGATTCACTAAAGGTTGGTACTCGATATTCTATTTCCCTGGCATGTAATTCTCTCTCACTGTCCATTTTTCTTTTTGAAATGATTTTTATGATCTCGGCTGTCCCAGAGACACACAAAAAAGCAACAATGTTTGATATACGCCACTCACGGGCCAAGCAGGAATGCAATAATTTTTAGATCACCACATATGTTTCACCTACAGTGATCATATTTGATGGCCTCAAGTATAATCTGCAGGCTCTGGTAAGTTTTTCATGTTCACAGCATCAACAACAGGAATCAGTGGCTTAGTGTTACTATTGTTTAAGATGTAGCTTTCAGACCAACTTTAGTTGAGTCGATAAAAAAGTCTCCATTCTTTAAGATAATGTTCAGCCATAATTCTTCCATTAGTGCATCAACATTTGTACAGAAACATAAAGTATCTTGCATGCTGTAGTGAGAAGTAATACTTTGTTGACGACTTCCGTAAACCGTTTATGTTGAGGTGCCACAGGAATAGAATTACTAGATGAGGAATGAAGATGAATCATTGTCTTCTTTGTATAATAACTCTTCTGTTTCCCAATTTGCTGATGGATGTGGCACTGGAAGGCCATCCCTGTGAGGTACTGGCTTCATTGCAGATGCAATATCTGGATATTTAATGTATTTTTTAGTTTTGCCTGAACATCCAGAAACATTAGTCATTCAAAAATAACAGTCATTTAAATTATCTTTGGGCTCACGCCATATCATGGGAACTGCAGATAGCATATTTCCTGTCTTCTTATTCAGCCACTGTGTCATGCCAGATGTGCAAACTGTACAACACACATGTGGAGCCCAGTATTTTTCTCTCTCCCCAATATTATACCAAAAATAATGGTAGTAAGCTATCATTACCTTGTGTGTGATATTTTCTTTTGTGAAACAGTCATATATTTTCCACAAATGTAGTAGCAGAAACTGTTTGGGTGATTTTTACACTTTCGGAATTTATTTGAACTTGAGGCAGCCAGCATTTCAAATGATTTTCCAAAAAAATAAAGTAATTTATGTTCACAGAAATAGATTTTAAAAGATTCTAAAAACAAAGTTTTGCAGAATTTGATTAGACCTCGGGTATGATGCAAGGAAGAAGATCAGACTTTGTTTTGACTATGAGCAGAGCGAGGCCAAATTACCAACTTAATGAGTGAGAGGCGTCTGATTCCGTCCCTTTTATGCTCAGTCGAGGGACTTCTCGAATGTTCTAACAAACTGAGCATGTAAGGGTTTCGTGATTCCCGGGCGGAGCAGATGGAATTTTATACCAATACAATACAGTCAATGTTTCAAGTTATCAAATATGTATGCCTTTTACCCATTAAACCGTTGAAATAAATTTAATTTCACACCATATGCTGATTGCATAGTATTTCACACAGTGCTGATAAAATATTGATATATTACAAGAACTCAAAATCTATAGCTGATGGACAAGTTCTGCGTACATTTCTGAAATCAGCGCAATCAAATTACTCGTAATTACTTGAGTTTTCTCTAGTAGCAAAGTTTTTGTTGTCCATCACAAGTCAGCATAAATACTACACCCACATATCGCCGCCAGTGGCAAGTCCAGACTTGCTGACCAACCAGAAATAGTGCGATGAACGCCTATGTTGAACAAAAAAAAAGTAATTTCATTCAGCTTTTTTATACTTGGAGAAATAAATATTCAGAACATATTTACTTCTGCTTCAATATCAGGTGTAGCTCTAAGAAAACACTATTATTATTAGGAATTCGTAGTACCGTTCAATAATATTTGTTTTAGCGCTA